CACCGCGGCTTTCGCCGGTCGCCCACCCTCGTCACCAGGGGAGCTCCCCCAGCCAGTGGCACAGCTGCAGCCCAGCGCAATCTCCACAGCACAGCCAGCCCAAGCCCCACATCTCTGCCTCAGGCCGGGTTACACAAAAGCAAGAGGGTCTGACAAGAGGGTGGTGGGCGCCCACTAGCTCGGACCTCCCCAGAAGCTCTGGGGATAGCTTCAGGAGGCACAGGAGAGATGTCGATGTCCTGGCTCAGTCCCAGTGGCTCTGCAGTTGCAGAGTCACACCACCACGGGGAAGGTCTTCAGCCCAAGCTCTGTCCAGGCAGGCAGGCAGGCAGCGCTGCCCTCCCCTTCACTTGCTGCCAGTGGCACATGGCAAACGGCTGTGGGGAGGACGGACAGAGAGCAGCAGTGCAGACACCAACCACGTCTGCCGGCAGCTCCCAGGCTTTTGGTGCCCTGGCAGACCTCTGCAGGGCAGCGGGGAGGTCTCAGAGAAGACGGCACCTCACAGCAGCTGGGAGAAGTGGTGGCTTTAGTCTCAAGAGTCTCGTGCATCCTCTTGTTGCAGCCCACTGGCTCTCCATCCCCAGTGCTCTGGACCCAGACCCAGGCTGAGCTTTGTGTTTCCAGCCTCTTGCAGCACAGCTCAAGCTGCCTGAGCCTGCTCAAATCCCAGGGCTCCAAATCCACTCCCATCTGTGTATCTGAGATGAGAAAAATGGGCTGCCAGCACTGCCGGGGTTGCACCAACCTGCCTTGGAGGGGGCAGGTTGAGAGTGTTACTCACCAAACTCTGCAGTCAGAGCAAGCTGCACCTCCTGCCTTGGCTGCAGCTCCCAGCAAAGGCTGCCTGGCACCTGCAGGGAGCACGGATCCTCCTCAGAAGAGCAGCCAGATGGGAAGGTCTGTGCGAGCCTGATAACAGATGCTGCTTGGCTCCTCTCCCTGGCGGGGCTGCATGGGGTACACAAGTGCCAGTGCCTGGGGCTCCAGGAAAAGGGGGGGCCATGTGCCCCGAGGCCAGGCTGGCATCTCTGTCCTTGAGAGCCCCCAACACAGCTCCTCCTGCTAGAACCTCCCCAGGGAGCGCAGAGTAAATGCTCACCCCAGCGGTGTGAGGGTAGGTGGGAAGCGCGTACCCCTGGTGCGGTCAGACGTTGCAGATGCTGAGCCAGGCTCCTCATGCCCATGGCAAGCACAGAACTGGGTGCTGCGGTGCAGAGCGAGAAGCCAGCACCTCTTCCCTACCAGGGCTCAAGGAACTTGTCCCTGTCCTAAGGCAGACTGAAGGACACAGAGAGGCTGGCTCTGGACCACCCAGGGCAGGACGGGAACCCAAAGCCAGGCAAATACTTCACTTGCACTGAAATGCCAGCAGAGAAGCCATGGATGCAAGAGGCAAAGCCAGGTGGAGAGAAGAGCAAGGCCTGGCTGTTAGTGGCAGGAGTGCTGAAATTCACTATTAAACTACACTTGAAACTGATTTTTAAAGTTCTCTTTCCTCTGGAGATGGTGCAAACACAGCACCAAGGAAGCTGCCCCCACTTTTCTGCACAACAATCAATAACCCATCATGGCATCAAACCAGGTGGTCACCCAGCACACACTGATTCCAGTTCATTCACCCTCCACCAAAAGCATCTCAACAAGCAAAGCAGCTCTACGCTTCTCCACCTGCTGAATTAGCAAGGCCAGGGTGCTGAGCAGGCTGGGGCAAGTAAGCAAGGATGGAGGATGGCTCCTGGGTTTGGAAAGGAGAGAAAGGCCTGATGCCCGGGGACCATGGAAGCCACAGGGCAAACAGGAAGTTCAGCAAAAGTTTATGCGTGCTTCTTCCTCAGAACATTCTGCAGGTAGCAAACAAGGCAGAGGGAGTGAAGATTGTGATCATCACAGAACAATCAAAACAAAAAGTAAAGCCCAAGGCCAGCACTTGGCTTTTTCTCATGCAAACCTCTCTGCACCCTTGTTATCAGCAAATCTGGAATCAGCCTCCGTCCCCTGCAGGTAAGGAAGGAGGTGAGAGCGATCAGCAAGGCATTGCAAAATTGGTTCTGTTTTTACATTTGTAGGAGGCCTTTGAAGGAACAAGGGGCTGCCCATCTCCTCTATTTCCACCTGGCAAAGGGACTGGCACTTCCTGGGCCAGCAGCGCCCAAACTCTTGGGAGGTGCTGTCCTTGGCTGTAGGGGCAGTACAGGCTTTCCTTTAGGCATTTTGACACTGTAGGGCCATGGATGTCCCAGGCAGGCTCCCCCCTACCTGCTGGGACCCTCCCCACCTCTTCCTGGCTTTTCCAGGAGATCTGGGCAACAGGGCTGCAGCTCCTGGCCTGGCTCCACAGCAGAGGCTGTGCTCAACGCCTGCCCCGTAGCCCCAGGAAGGGCAGGAGCAGCAGCGAGGGGCACATGACGTGAGGCAGGTAGCACCCTTACCCCGAAGGTGGCAGCGGGTGCCAGCTCAGCACCAGTCGCAGAGACTTTTCTTCCTGCACGAGGCCAGCGGCTCAGTCCTGAAGCAGTCCTGTGCTGGCATCCAGCTGCAGAGAACAGCCTCCCCGCTGGCGTTACCCCCCCTGACATCACCCTTCGCCAGTCCTTTGTGGCCTGAGGGTGCGCAGATCCCAGCACCCCATCCCACCCCAGCTGCTCGCTGCCGCAGAGCGGAGCCAGGCAAACAGTTCTTCCGAAGCAAAGCCCTTTCCTGAGCGGGCTGGGCTGCCTTGCCTGCGACTAAATATTCAGCGGCACCGTGCGCTGGCCCTTTGATCAGCAATTTATCTCCCCATGCCACAGGGTTCCCGGAGCCTGGCGTTTCCGCCCCGTGCTCAGACTAGGTCCCAGGAGCCTGGGAGACAGGTGTGAGGAATTAGCTCTGGGACGGATGCTCTGACAGGAACCAGCACCGAACGAGGGGACAGAGTGTAATGTTTATTACATTTGAAGCAAAGCAAACATGTGGCCTACTTATGTATCTAGAGAGAATTAATTGGGGAGCTCCACAAAGCAGCAGATTATAAATTAGAATCATTTTCACCAACTTCAGCCCATTCATCTTATTTCACGCCAGGCCTGTCAGCTCAGCCCGACGCAGCCGTGTGCAGCCCCAGGCCCACAGGCTGCTGTCTGCTGGCACAGCTTAGAGGTGACGCCTGGGGACACCACCCATGACGTGCAGGTGCCCACCCGGAGCTGCTGGGAGCGTTAACACTCGGGGGCCTCGGACTCGCACGGAGACACCACATTCACGGATTCCTGTGCAAGGAGCAGCAGTGGTCAAAGCTGGCACAGCAGCCCGTGCCCGGGGCGCTCAGCAGCGCAGGGCCCAGCCGTGTCCCTGAGGGGCACTTTGGGAAATGCCCCTGAGGCCTTCCAGGGATTATGGCCTGGAGCCAGAACACCCGGAGCAGCCACTGCCTCCCAGCTGGTGGGATCTTGCGGGCACCTCTCAAAGCAAGAGGATTAGAGTAACTTTAATTCGGCCTATACTTACAGATCCTGAAGAGACAGCGAGCAAAATACCATGTTGATGCTGGGTTCATTTCTCTCCAAAAGGTCACCTGCTGCTTTGCTGGAAGGAGTGTCCAAAGAGCCAGTGGAGATGGCTGAGTAGCACCTTAAGAGGAGGATCTAGTCCTGAAGATGCAGTTCAGGTCAGGCCACAGCCACCATGATCTCAACTGTCCTGCCCTTCACAGCGATCAGAGCGGGACAGAACCAGAGGTGGGATCAGAGCCTCGCAGCACCCACCTGTGCAAATGAGTGCACTTGCAGGAAGGCTCCAGACACAATCAAAATGGTTTCCACAGGGACCGGCAAAAGTCTGGCCCAAGAGTCCTTCTAGCCCATGTTGTGTCTCCAGAGTGGCCAGAAGCAACTGCCTGGAGCAGAACAGGGACAGGGCAAGCAGCTGTGATGCTCTTCCTGACAATTTCCCAGACTCCAACAATTTTCAACTCAAAGAGACACATCCCACTTGGTCTTTTCCCAGAAGCAGGATGCCCCAGGAGCTAGAGTGCTGCCAAGGGCTTCAGAGATGCATGTAACAGCCTCAGCTGAGAGGCCCAGACAAGCTTCATCCCATGGCAGGAACTCCCATCCACCTGTTCTTAGCAGCTGTAGCAACCTGCATCGCCACACGAGCCATCTGGTTCGGCGAGCCCACCAGAGCCCACACTGGTAAGCGTGTGTGTGATCAGGGCAGAGCCCACCAGGCACCCTAGTCCAGATGCGGCAAGCCCCACATACCAGCTCACATCCAGCTGCTGCCTCGTCCCCCCTGGCTCTGACTGCATGGGGAAGCCCAGGGCTCCCGGGTGGGCGCCAGGGCCAGGAGTACCCACCACAGCCCGGCCCATGCCAGAGCAGCTTTCTGCCCCTCCATTGCTGTTCTCTGCGCATCAGCTGCGGCCCCCACTCTGCGCCTGGCTGATAACGTGTGTCATAGAGAGGGAGTTGGTGGAAATGGCATTACTAATTAGTACAGAGATACTGTTAGCATTGTTAATGGATTCCAAACAGTTCTGCGTGTTGGCAGCACGCGAAAGCAGCACTGGGGCAGACACCAGGGTGGCAAAGCCAGGCCAGGGCCCAGACTGAGCCCAGCTCAGTTCTGCTGATGCTGCGCAGTGAAACAGCATCGTCTCTACCCCAGCACTGCTCTCCCTGATACGGCAATTGGTAAAAGTCAGACCGGGACAGATTTGTCTCTGTGTGCGTGTGTACAAGCGCGCACATGTGTGTGTTAGGGAATCACAATGACAGGAACTACCCAGCACCGGAACTGCAGGACAAGAGAGGGAAACGGGCAGAAAGGAACTGAGGCAGGGGCGTGGGGGTAGCAATAAACCCAAATGTAAAGTGGATGAATTATTTACTGCAAGAAACAATTGTGAAGTCGCTTACTCTGGCTCTGTGCATCCTAAATGGGGCCTGCAGTGTTTCTCACATCTCCCTTGTGTGCTGAGTGATTTTTTTACAATTGGATGCATGAGGCTGGGGTAATCTTATAAGAGACTCCAGAAGATCAGTTTAGTATTGATCATGTGCTGAATTTAAAGGCTTTCCACATCCATCTGCTGCTGCTACTCAGGTGACAGCTCAGCCGGCACCTGGGTGCTCGCTGGGTGCCTGCACCCCAGAGCCACCTCATCTGGCTGCACCCTGTGGCCGGGCCGATGCACAGCAGCATGGGGGGGCTGAGACATCACGCCAGAGCTCAGTTTATGAGCCAGCAGAGTCACATGGCTGCTCCCCACCGAGCCTTTTGATGAAGTCCCCCCAATGGATCAGTCTGCTGTGCTGCTCTCTTCACTGGGGCCAGCTGGTTGTGGATTGTAGTGGATCATATGCTCACCTAACAGGGGCAGCAACTGCCAGAGACCAACAGAAAAAGGGTGATGGTATAGAGGGCAGTTTGCACAGACCAGCACCTAATGCCAATAGCCTGCACCACTGACAGCACCTGGCACCATCTCCAAGGAGGTGGCGGCTGCCAGCGCAGGGCAGCCATAGCACCTAGACCTGTTCAGCACAGCCCTCCACAGCTCTCCACAGGTGCTGCCAGGAGCCGTTGTCTCCTTGCATGGAGCAAAGAGTTGGCCTTGGGCATGGAGGAGGGGGCTCTGGGCACCTGGAGCTTCTCTGGATGCTGCAGACAGGACTGCAAACCGAATAACCCTTCCTGAGCCAGCAAAGGCCCCTGCAGCCCCCTCGTCTGGCAGGGTGTGCCTGGAGCACTGCTGACGCACAAACGGCCCCATCACAGGCAGACCATGCCAGCAAGAGCCTGGAAGAGCTCCAACCCTGGGCCATCAGGCGGAGTGATGAGGAAAGGCACATAGAGAGACAGAGCGCGGGGAGGACTACATCTTGAAAGAAGTGTCTCTTGCTGTTTGCCTTGGATGCTGCAGGTATTCTAGGCATGGGACTGCCATCTAGGCTCAGGACTGCCTGAGCCCAGACAATGGCCTGGCAGCAGGATGGTTGCTGTGACATGCCCACAAATGTGACAGGAAGAGGGAATTCAGGCATTATGGGACTGTTAAACATATTGTATCACGATGAGGTTTTAGTTCTTTCTTTTAATAATATGCATATTGCAAGCTGTTATGAAGTCATGAAGGCTGTGAGCCTTGCTGGCCAAAAGACAACCTGCTTTACGATGTTAAAATATGAAGTGTTTTTTGCAAAACAATACAAGTTTAATGTATGAGAAATCTACTGACTTACTGAAACAGCGGATGTGCAGGGTAGAGAGAAATGACTCTTCCAGATCCATACTTACTCAACAAAAGACCTATACTCAGATAACTCAGAGTAGGCCCCTGGCATTCTCACAGAGGCCGAGTGGCTGAAAGTAAGGCTACAACATAAAGAGGCCCTCTTAATCAGCAGAAAGTGCAGAAATCGTATGGACATGCTTAAAAACATCAGGCGCTTCTTCAAAATCCCCAGGCAAAAATTCGAGTCCAAAAATCCATCTTGCAAAGCTGTCAACTAGGGTGAAGTGGGGCTGAGCTGTTGCACAGCTGCCCACAGGTAAAAAAGTGCCGAGAAGACAGAGCTCTCGACACAGGGCACTGTCCAGTGAGGACCTCAGTGCGCTGTGCCTGGTAGGTGCTTAGATGCAGATCTTACATCCAGACATTGATAAGGCATCCAATTCTTTTGCTGCTGTTGTTGCTGCTGTGGTTGCTTTGTTTTCAATAGCTGCAGCTAAACATTTAACCTTTACGTTGATGGAATGACCTAAACGTGTTCTTCCAGGCTCGTCAGCAGCAAGGCTGTCTCACAGCGAGCAGAGAAAAGCCTTTCCTTTCAGCCTGGCAAATCCATACGCTGTGTGGCTGGCAGACTTGCAGGTGTCCCCTGCTCAGAACACATGGAAGGGTCTCGGAGGTGGGATTCAAGCATTTCTCCAGCTTGCCAGGTCTAACGGAGAGGTGGGTATGAAACTCCATCTTCTTGGCAAGCAGGAGAAGAGCAACTCACAATTTGGAAACTGTGTAGTTGTTCCAGCTGGGAGGCTGGCACTGGCTGTTGCTCTCCCAAGCCTGTGGCTCTGCCAGCAGCTGAGGCACTTATTCAGCATCCTACAATTTCAGATGGCAGAGAAAGAGTTACAGGAGGAAGCAGCAGATTAATCGTGAGTTAATATGGTCCCATGTTTTTTATTACTCTCAGAGTATTAAATTGATAGCCTGGTACCAAAGGCCAGAAGTGTCACCTCTCAACAAGATGAAATCTATGTAGCCCGTGGACAGGGGAAAGCGGCAGGATTTATAAAGGCGTCCATAAAATTAACATTTGGATGAGCATGTGGGAGAACTGACACCACGAACTGCAGCAGCAGGCTGGCAAGTACCCGCCACTCCTGCATTTAGAGCCCAGCAGACAACGTTGAGCGGGTGCAACCTCCTGCACCGGTGCCTGGCTGAGCGGGGCCCCAGGGCCTCTCTATTGCCAGAAAGGGGCTGCCAGGAAGCTTTCGGGAGATGGTGGCGTTTTGGTAGTGCTGTGGGGAGTGAGTGACAAGGGCAGGGACAGGCCACATCCTAGATCTCCTCGGGGGATCACTCCCTGGCCCTAGTGGTGGAAGCATGTCCCCTTGGTTTGGCTTAGACCAGACAGGAAGGCTCAGACCCTCTCTCCACCCTCAGTTTTCTTCATGGCTCAGTCTGTGCTGTCTGAGCAAGCACTGAACCTGGCAAGGCAACGGGACCTGGGAAATATGCTTTTCCACAGATCAGGGAGCCCAAGACATGTACCGGTGTGCCAGGAGCCGTGAAACAGTGGCCCCAGGCACACCCCGTTGTGGCCAAGAGGCCCTGATAAGCCCTTGCCTTTCTCTTGATGCCCCAGAACTCCATCCCACCACCCAGGTGCCTGAGGGCTGTCCCTCAGCACAGCAGAGACACCGGACACCCAGCACCCTGGAAGACTTCGAGGTGCACAGCAAGGGGATGACATCCATGTGCACGGCACAGCACGGGCACAGGGCAAAGCACTGCTGACACATGGGCCCGTTCAATGTCCTGGTACCCCTGCCGGTACGGTCAGGGTCTGGGCACCTCTGGGCCTCTGTCCTTCCTCTGCACAGCGCGGGCAACACTCCGGCCCTACTGCAGAACTAGGGACACCACAGACCTGCTGAGACAGCACGGTGCTCATGCCACACACTTACCCAGCCTGGCTGATCCTGCATCGCGCACGTAGGCACCATGGCATGTCATAACTGCGAGTGTGCTCAGCCGTGCACCACACGTACCACGCTGTGGGCTCACACACCTGCTGCACTGTCGCAACACTCAGTGCGAACCGAGCCATTACCGCTGCTGCCTGCAGTATGACTGCTTTGCAATTAAAGGAATGAAATGTTTATACAGGAATAAATCTGTGTTAATGAGGTGAATCCTGCTCCCGCCCTGACAGGCTCTAGAACAAGGCTAGGAACTTGGGGGAAGGGAGAAGGTTCAAATGTGCGCTGCTCCCAGCCAGCAGCTAGGCCTGGGAAGCGAAGCGGGGAGGGAAAGGGGAGCAGACTCGGGCAGCTGACTGGCTGCATGCAGGAGCCCCCATTTTTTTGATTTCCCTGTCTGGTCCCCCCACATGGAGCTAGCAGGAGAGACCAGACCACTGTCAAGCTTGCTTAGGCTCAGGAGGTGTTTGAGCTGTTTCCTTCCCCAGGAAGGGCACTGCACCTAGCTCAAAGATTTAGGAAGACCACAAGCGATTTGGACAGCGATGCTGCCACAGAGTGGGGACACACTGCTTTGGGCCTTGCAACCTTGACAGCCTGTCCAAAAATATCCTTTGTTGAAGCCAGCAGCAGGGGCTACACAGGGGGAAATCCCTATGCAGGTCATCCTTGCTCTCCTCTGTTCCTCAGAAACACTGCACTAATCCCTGTCGCCTGCCTACATGGGAAACCACAGAGACACAGAATCCAATTAGCTTGAAATCCCGCTCTGGCTCCCGCACAGCATCTCCCTCTGATGGAGCTGTGGAGCTGCGGAGATAAACAGTGCATTAGGATTCCAGTGGGGTCTGGCAGGCAAGGATGGAACTGCAGCACCGGCACCAGTGCGCCCTTCCCAAGCCTCCCTCCCTCCCTCTGCCTCCTCACAGCTCTTCCTCCCGGCCTGTCCAGCAGCACCATTCCCTCAGCCGAGCCTGGACGTGCAAGGTGAAAGCTGGGGACGGGGGCTAGAGCCAGCAGCTCTCCAGGCTGGCTTTGCTCTTCACAGGGCAGGGAAAACCCCTCAGGGGCTGAATGGCACCAAAGTCCCTTGGCTGCCGGGGGTGGACAAGGTGGCAAAAAAGCGCAGTGCCAGGGCCCATCTCCTCACCAGGGCAGCCCGCCAGGCATTGCTGCGCCTGGAGGTCCCTTCAGCACCAGCACGGTGCACGTCACCCTCAGCAACCCTGTCCCTCCTCCAGCAGGGACTGGCCCTGCGCAGCTGGCTCTCCAGAATCATCTGGGGGACAAAGCAGGTCCCAACCCCACAATGACAGCAGAGAGAGGGACTGAAGCAGGTAATCCTCCCCCGGACAAGCTAGCCACGGCCATGCAGAGCACGAGGGGTAACTCTTGCTGACCCTGTGCTTACACCCTGGCTGTGCCTGCGGCAACAAGTCTGCTGTGCCTGGTGCTACCACAGCCGTGCCTGCTGTACTCACACTCTTCCTTGCACGCACAGTAAATTACCTGCTTTGCATTTTGCAGCAGCAATTTAACAGTATTAATTCATTGTGTTCTGTCTTTAACAAACACCATTATCATATCACCAGCCAGGATTATGCAAATCCTGCAAAAGGAATTATTCCTCTCCCCAAAGTCACCTTGATTTATCAGTTTTAGCCCAAAACGAAAAAGAAGTTGCTTTGGAAAAACTGTTAAACACATGACCACACCCAGGGGGCTGTGATGGCCCCATAGGGCAAAATACACATCCCGGCCAGGCACAGCTTTGTGCAGGTGGGTGACCCCTCACACCCACGGGTAACACAGGGGTGGCTCTGTGCTGGCCCCCACCAAGACCGCTCCTTTCCCAGAGTGCGGGTGGACCAGGACACCAAGGAACCGGGCCCTGGACCAAGAGCTGGGAAAACAACGCCCTTGCAAAACACTCCTGGGATAACTCCATGGCTCCATCCTCCAGGCACAAGGCCATGGGGCAGGTCTGAGGCTGTGCAGAAGCACACAGGGCTGGAAACAAGTAAACTTTCTGAAACTGCGTTAAGGATTGCTCTGCGGCTGCCACTGGCCTGCCCCCATCCGTGTCCCTGCTTTCCAGGGCACCATTTCAGCTTGAGCCTGTGTCACACGTAACAAACCCGTGTCCTCCCATGCAAGAGCAGATGCTGCTAGGGATCAATGAGCACATCTACATCCCACTCCAGGAATTAGCTCTTTAACAGGGTCCTCAAATAACATAATGCTTTTGTCTGTCATTTCCTTTGCTGCAGAGGTAAAGGCTCCTCACCCCTCCGATGTGGCTAGACCTGGCTGCAGTGGTCCCTCAGTGTGTAAGGAAGCACTTTTCCCCATTATTTGCCAGCAGTTTGGGTCAGTCCTTCAGCAGAAGGCAAGAACAGCACCTGAGTAAGAAGGGAGGACTTCTACCCTTTTGCAAAGCAGAGTGAGCCTCTGCCACCTGAGCACCGCCTGTTCTTGCAAGAGGAACCAGGCCCTTGGCTAGGGCTTTGCCCTGATGGCCAGCAATTATTTTAAGCATTCTGGCTCAGTGCAAAGAGACAATTCTGAAAGAGTTCTGCTTCAGATTCCATTAACCATAGACGGCAGCTTTGTAAGAACAGCAAACAACTCCCCAATTAGTCCTGAATATCTTTTATTTTCAAACTCAATGTGTTCTGGCAGACAAAGAATCAAGAGCAGCTACCATGTGTTGGAGCAGCACCATGACTGCAGTTGGATGCACTGAAAAGCCACTCAGCACCTCTGGTGTTTATGGCTAACTCAACAGACATGGGAAATTCCTCCAGCAAACTATACTGTGACAGAGACGAGGATGAAATCAGGCACTGGCAACCTATGGTAAAATACAGCTCAGCAAAACAGAATTAGCCCCAAACCAAAAGCTGGAAACAAAAACCTTAAAAGAAATCCCTGGCACTATGCCTGGCCACCCACAGCCAGCACACCCACGCCCCTGGCTGCAGTCTGCAGTCCGCACAGCGAGAAGGTGTTCAACCTGCTCTGGGCCTGGGAGTAGTGAGCTGCCCAGGCTCTGTGGGGACACCTGGGGACAACGCAGGGCTGGGTCCAGGCTGGCTGGGGTTCGTGGTGTGGGCTGTTTCTAACCACGAACAGAGACTGTGAGGAGGAACTGGAAGAGCCACCTTGGCCATCCCAGGATAGAGCCTGGGCGCCGATGGCAGAGAGGTGCCTCCACCTGACACAGCAGGGACACAGGGTTCAGGCTGCTCCTCATCTCACAGCGAGTCACGCTCATGCCTGCTCTGATGTGTTCAACCTGGCCTCTCCTTGATCTGTTCCAACTACTCTCACCTTCCCCTCTGCCTCCCCTCTGCCCTGCCCCCAGCTCCTCATCACCAGCTCTCATTTCCAGTTGTGCCTGATGTCTTCGAATCTTTCCACACCTTCACTCATGCTGCCCTCAACCAGGCTCTGCCAGGCTACCACTGTCCTTGCAGGATCAGAGGGAAGCTTGGAAAGAGGAACTACATCTTCCTGGCCTTGAAGAATCCAAAGGGTGAATCTTCCCAGCTGTAGCCAGTCCTGCCCACCTTCCTTTGGGGACCCCCCCCCCCCCCAGACACGCACCCTCTTGGGGGCAGCCCCTGCTCTGCTGAGGATGAGCACAAGGGGGGCCAGAGGCTGGGCAGGGAGGGGCAAAGCTAGAACACAGGAGTAATGTAATGGCGGAGGCAGAAACAGGGAAGGCAATTCAATTTTCAGAGACTGTCCCACCAATTCTGCTCAGAGAGACGATAAGAAACCCATTTCCAGTGATAGGCACCCTAATCCCCAGCCATCCTGCATTTCCATTTCCGAGAGGCGCTGTTTCCAACAGGGAGGCATTTTCCCATCTAGGTTTGCTAGAAGGGACAGCGATGGATTAAATACCAATTTTTCCAGCACTGTTTAACTCCTTCTGTGCCTACTCCTGCCACTTATGCAAGTGCTGGAGGTACAGGGCAGCCGAATGGCTGCTGCACTGTGCCCCGGAGCAGGAGAACAGAGCTGGGGGCCTCTCACAGGCTTCTCCCAGCTGCAGCCTGAAGAGACAGGGAAGAGGGAAAAAACTAAAATGCATCATCAGTGCAGGCAGAGGCGCTTAGATCAGGATTTTATTATTGCTCAAGGCAGGACTCAGACTCAACTATGGGACAAAAGCCACGCAGCGAAGCTTAATATCCAGTGACAAAACCATTAGATGGGTCCAAAGTGCTGCAAGACTGACTTGAAACTATATTTGCAAGAGCACAGGCAGATAGAGAAAGAAGGAAGCAAACCATGCAGTGATGGCCATGCCCCCACAGGTCCACTACGTGCCCCAGTTTAAGCATTGTGGTGCTGGTGCAGCCTTTGCCTCCAGGTTACCAGGGAGAAGAAAGGCAAAAGCAGCACGGACGCAGCAAAGAGTGCATTGGCTGAAGAGGAACTGACTGTCACAGAAACACATGTGGATCAGTGGTAAAAAACCTCACCGTCTTCAGGAGGGCCATTCTCAGCACTGGGCAACAGCTGCCACCTTGAGCACATTGCGTCTTCCCCCATCACTGTACGCTGGGTTGCTCAGGGCCAGCCTCCCCAGGGATGGTTGGTGCCTGTTCCCAGCAGTCCTGGACCTCGCTATTAGCAATGACTATCTTAAAAGAGCCACCTAACTTCCAGCATCAAGCAGGACTTTTCCCACAGCTAGGAAGCCACTGAGCTACAGCATTCCTTGGATGCCAGCACAGTCTTTCCCCAGATGCCTGTAGCCAGCCCTCTGTGCTTCTGCCACCCATACCAGCCCTCCTCCTCATTCTGCTGCCCTCACTCTGTGCTGAAGATCTCCATTTATCCCCATTCCCTGATGTTAGGGCTCCTACCCACGATGTGAATCAATCCTTCAGGGAGCTGCAGGGCCCGAGACCCCCAGCCCCGCTTCTGTAGCACAACCAATTGGCATCCACACAGCAGCTCCCTCCCCCTTCCCAGACATCAGACACGAAACTCTCCCCATGGCGCAGGAATAAAGCCTGAACATTCTGACACAGCCCCTCCAAACCCGTCCCTTGACCCCTGTTATGAACCAAACCAGGGAGTGTGTTGGAAAGGGGAGCCCCAGGCTGCTGTTGCCTCACGAGCTGATAAGGCCCCTGGTGCAAATCTTGCGGGAGGGAGCGGCAGTCGCTCTGCAGCCAGAGCTCCCCTGCCCATCTGCATGGTTCCAGCACCAACCACAACTCCATTCATCACCCACTAAACAAATGGAAATCTAAGGACTCACGGCTCTAAAACACAAAAAACAATTCCCTGCGCATTTTAACAGCGCTGTAATTTATTGGATCAGAAATGATGAATGGCAGCAGAAGGGGGTTGGGCCCAGCATACAGGGGGGTGCGGATGCAGTGGGAGCCAGAGAGAGATGTATAGCTGGGCGGAAAGTCTGGGAAAGCTCCCAGGATTGCTGTTGCATGGGGCTGGGGAAACACCACCACCTACAAGGACCGGTTCCCTCCCACATCTTCTTACCCCGCCATTCAGTGAAGGATTTGTAGTAGAGGCTTCTGTAAGAAGCACCCACGTGAGGAAGAACAGAGTTGAGCACCATGCCAGCTACGCCTGTCCCCTGCGTTCCCCAGGCACGCTGTCACACTTCCCATGCAGCCCTTGCTGGCAGTTTCGCAGATTCAAGGCACCAGTAAGAAAGGCAAAAAGCGCCTCATCCCTGGGGGAAGAGGAACACCTGGTGGAAAGACAGAGTAAACACGAGCATTGCCGCTCCTCCCCCATGTAATCGCCCGGCTCTGGAGTTTGAGCTGCATTCAGCAGTAACTGAAACCAGGCTCTGTAAAACAGGTGCCAATTACTGCCTGCTAATGCAAGGCGCTCTGATAGATAAAGCAACTACCCAGCTCTGCTAGGCTGGAAAGCACGAGACGAGGTGGTAGGGCGACTTGTGCTAGTGTGGGTCCTGTGCCCCAGCAAACCCTCTTGCAGCCCTAGACAGTGCAAGTTCTTGCCCTCGTGCCTTCTAGCTGCACACCCCCTGCACCTTCCCATGAGCCAGCAATGTGTCCTTGCCGCAAAGAAGGGTAATGGCACCCTGGGGCACACCGGGTGAAGCATTGCCAGCAGGTCGAGGGAGGGGATCTTTCCCCTTTACTCAGCACTGGTGAGGCCACACCTGGAGTACTGTGCCTAGTGCTGGGCTCATCAGTACAAGGGAGACACGGACATCCTGGAGAGAGTCCAGCAAAGGGCCACAAAGATAACGAAGGGACTGGAGCGCCTCGCCTGTGAGGAAAGGCTGGCAGAGCTGGGACTGTTCAGCCTGGAGAAGAGAGGGCCTGGGGGGGAACTTGTCAATGTATATAAATACCTGAAGGGAGGGTGAAAAGAGGACAAAGCCAGGCTCTTTTCAGTGGTGCCCAGTGAAACACAGGGGCTTCCCTCTGAACACCAGGAAACACTTTTTCACTGTGAGGGTGTCTGAGCACTGGCACTGGTTGCCCAGAGAGGCTGCCCAGAGTCTCCATCCTTGGAGACACTCAAAAGCTGTCTTGACATGCTCCTGGGCAACCAGCTCTAGGTGGCCCTGCTTGAGCAGGGGGGTTGGACAAGACGACCTCCAGAGGTCCCTTCCAACCTCAGCCATTCTGTGATTGTGATCTCTAATCATCCACATTCCTTGTTTTCTGTGCCGTTTCTCCCCCCATCTTGGCCAGCTGCCTTTCCCCCCTCTTCTCTGCTCAAAGCCCCCCTTCATTTGCCTTTCTGGGGGTAATGTGGCAGTAAGGAAGGTGGCTGATCCAGGGGTAGTGTCATAATGATGGGAAAAGGATAACAGTAGGTGCAATTGCCAGCAAAATCCTGCCACTTCTTGGTTTTTTATCCTCCAGTAACTGCGGACCTGGAGGGACAGTGCCTTGGGAGAACCTCAGGGGGTGATGACAAGAGGGTTGACCTACCTGGGCCAGCATCAAATAGAGGGGAAGTTAGTCTTTCATGGGAACACCTCAGAGTCCTTCTTGCTCTACACAGAGCACCCTTCACCTCCTGTACCCCCTCAGTAGGGGATGTGCTGGTAGCAAGCTCAGAGGACATGGATGGGGAGTGATGAGTGGGAGCAGACTGGCAAGGTCTCTCCCTGCACGGCACTGTGAGTCAGATATGGTGCCCACATCTTTAAAAGGATTTTGAAAAAATGGAGGATGCACAGAATAATTACAAATGCGATTTGGAGGCTGGAGAAAACACTTGCCAAGGACAGAATAAGAGTTCAGTCCGTTACCTCGCCAAAAAGGGAGCCCGAGAGGTGATTTGATTAGAAGTGCTTCACAGAGAAAAAATACTTGATGTGAAAGGGCTCTTTAACTTTGTTAATAAAGGAGGTTGGAGCCTGTAGTCAAGCAAAATGTAAATAGGAAACACGGCACTGGGCCATGCTACCCCAGAAGTGCCATCTGCTCTGCCTCCTCACATCCTCCACCCTGTCATGGAAGATGCATGGGCTGAGAGACAGCAGGTTCATTACAGGCAAAATGGCATTTCTCACCCGGACTTACACAGGGGCCATGGATCAATGAACAGTCGCTTCAGGCCTTGAAAATCTACGGAACTGCAGGCAGAAGCTACGGACAGTACTGTGGCAGGAGGCATCCGTGACGCCCACAAGGAACAGGGAGCTTCTCTGCATCATGTCCCCACGTGACTGGACCACAGCAGGAACAATCCCAGGCACCCCAGGTCTACAAGCAGCCACTGGTCTCACCTGGCACCTGGGGACAGACCCAGGAACATCAGTGGTTGCCAGTTTGGGCCTGCCTCTGCCCAAACCCGCATCAGGCAGCACTACTACATGGGACTGGCTGCTGGCTTGGCCAGGGTCCGCCCTGGCTGTAGCAATGCCTCCCCTCCCTGTGAGGCTGCTGCAAGGAGAGATATCAAGAATACTCCCCCAAGCCCTCTCCCCATGTCCTCTCTTCTCTTTGCACTGTCCCTGCCGCCCACACCAAGCCTATCAGATGGCCAGTGCCTAATTGCCTCCCCTGACTGCACCGCTGGATGGGGAGTGCAGCTGCAGCCTCTGACCCAAGCACAACTGGAAGAGTGAGCTGCTGAATGAATAAAGGAGAGCAGATGTACAGGAGTATCAGAGCGACACGGGGAATCCAACCCCACCCTGCAGATGTGGGGTCAGGTGCTGTGGCCACTGAGGGAGGCACTGGCACATTAAGGCCAAGTGCCCGGGGAGAGACAGGGCACATGGGGAGAACTTCAGCAGCATCAGAAGGAAGTCAAAGACCTGCGTCCCAGGGCAGAAGCTCTGTTGGGTCTGCAGGATTCATTCTCCCACAGGAAATTACTCTGGTAGAGAGAGTGCTGGGCAGGAGCAGTATCTATCTCCACAGGATAGGCAGAGGCCAAGAAGAGGTTCAGAACCTGCTGTACGTAACCTAAAACTTGGGAGTAGTCCCTGCCTGCAGAGCTTACTAGCAAGACCAGCCTGCCCCCATCTCACAGTCTGGACAACCCACCATCAGCCCTGCAAAGAACAGTGACAGAGCTGTCTTGCAGCCAAGCCCTCCTGTTGCAGTCCTGGCTCCAACGTCACCAGCCCTAGCATACCAAAAATTGCAAGTCAAATCCTCCAAAATTGCATGAAGTTTCTAAAACCATGCCCATTTTCTTTCCTCCCTAAGGGGCTTAGAGCTTTCAAGATCATGGGGATCTCCAGTCCCTGTTTTTCCCCACAACCTGGTTTCTTGAGCCCAGGATCTTCATTCCTGACCAACCACAAAGCTGAGACTCTCTGTGGATACCAATCTCCAGCACCTGGGGCTTGGATGGGATCACTGAAGGTTCACGAGTGGGCTGCAGTTCTTCCCTCTGGAGGAAACACCCCTGCAGTGTCCATGCCAAGGCAGTAGACTGAAACATGTATTGGGGCATCACCCTTGGCTCTCCCACTCTTCATCTGAAAAGAACAGCAGCAGACAGCACATTGAACATTGTGTGCACTGGCAGTAAAGGCAGCTAGCAGCATCCTATGCTGCGTTAGAGGAACACAGCCACCAGATCAAGGGAAGTGACTATCCCTTTGTACCAGTACTTGTTAGTCCCCATGAAGGAATGCTGCATGCAGGTTCCGCCTCCAATACAGAAAAGACATGGACAAATTAGTGGGAGTTCAGTAGAGAACCACCAAGGTACTCAGGGCTTGAAGCGCTTGTCCTGTAAGGAAAGGCGGAGGGAGGGAGGCTTGTTCAGCTTGGAAAAGACGTGGTTTCAGGGGGACCTTATAGCAATCTGTCAGTACCTACAAGGAAGTTATCTGCCAAGACAGAGCCAGGCTCTTATCAGTGGTGCTCAGTGGGAGGATGACAGACAATGGGCATAACTATAAAGACATGTTCAGACTAGATAAGGGAAAACCTCCTCCTCATGATGACAGTCAAGCATTGAAGCAGGGGTCCAGAGAGGCTGTGCAGTCTCCCACCTTGGAGGTTTTCAAGACCTGCCCTGAGCAACCTGGTCTGATCTCATACTTGACCCTGCTGGCGTAGAGAACCGAGGTCCCTTCCCACCTGAATTACCCTGTGATCTCCAACTCGACACGGGAGGAGAAACAGACTCTTAGCTCCCAACTTGCAGGGCAGGATAAGGCAAAATACCATCTGTCTGCATCAGCCACACAGTCCCCTCCCAACACACACTTTGCCACTCCCCCAAGACGCTCAGGACAGATGAACATTTGCTTCCCCACGAGTCCAGGAACTCCTGTTGAGCCAAGGCTGACCCATCTCATCTTCTGACACAGAGGGAGAATGCAAGCCTGCAAGCAAAGTGCTGTGCAGGACACATCTCTCACAGCCGGCACCAGCTCCACCTCCTTCTCCCTGCTGCGCCACTGAAGACCTTCAATGTCTAGAAAGAAAGCAGCAGCTCCACAGGAGCAGGGACATAACACCTTCTAGCTCCCTTTACACAGTGAATTATGTCCATGTGCCAGGTGAGTCTGCCTCGTGCGGGGGGGCAGAGGAGGTGCTGAAACATGGAGTTAGAAGAATCACTAAGCTGAGACCAGGAGAGTGGCTCTTAGCATGGTCATGACGATGGCTGCAATTAGTGCAATTACAGGGCTTGGCTGCCTCTTGCTTGTGATTTTCATTAAAAATCGCATGGTCAATTCTGCTACTTTTCACTGGGCAAGCAGCCAGAAGCTGGCAGCAGCCTCTGCTCCTGGCAAGGTCCAGAGCAAGGGCAGGTACAGGCTGCTCCCCTGAGGGGCCAGGCTGGCAACAAAGGCCCCACCAGGCATTCAGACGTTCTGGCTTCTGGCAACAAGACGACCATTTGGGAGAAAGGAGGTGAGTGGCATGGCTACCTGTCCTCTTCGAAAAGCACGCTCCTCGCAGGAGGCATAACTGCACCCAGCACAGCTCATCCCTCAGCAGCAAATGCCATCGCAAGCGCCACCCCCCTCCCAAGCCCCAGACAGAGCCTGGTTTTGGCTGCATCACCTTTCCCAACACAAAGTAAGGCAAACAGTTCGCCCCCCCAAGATGACTCCCCACGCAAGTGCAGGTCACAGAACCCCTCAGGTTAGCGCCCAGAAGAGCGAGCCATTGCCAAGTGCGGGATGCAGACTGGGAGCGAGGGTTCTTTCAGCTGCTTTGGCCTGCAGAGACCCAGGGCTGTGAACACCAAAGCCTGCATACCCCAGTGATGAAAAAACGAGAGCCTCAGTGCAGAAGCAGGGGTGCAGAGTTAGGGGCAACCATCCGTTACTGCAAAGACCACAGATGAATGCGAGCCCTTCACAGCCCCAGGCAGGGCGGGTGGGAACCAGCCTTCCAGCTGTCCGCACCTCACACTTCCCTTTCCCCAATCCTAACAAAAACTACAGAGATTCCGCTGAAACAAGAAATGAGCACAGCTTGAGGCAGGCCTGCTGCTGGGGTCCAGGCGCCGTGTTGCTGCTCTGCCTTGCGACTGCCACGTGTTCTGGAGCCAGGCTGGCTGTCCCAAGTAAGCGCGCTGATGGCACTTTTCTCCTGGGCAGAGGCGCGCAAAGGGTTTGCAGGGACACTTTCCCTGAGCCCTCAGGATGTCTCCAAATAGATGTCTCCCAGGGGAACGGGTAGGGGGGCAAAATGGGCGCACTGTGAATGCCTGGTGTTAGAGGCAAGCACAGAGTTTGCGGAAGGAGTGCAGCACCTCTGAGACTCACTCAGCTTTGCTTCCGCTGGTTAATTGGCTCAAACACCATCAATATTCAATCGCAGCCTTCTGTTTCCTGCGTGGGGCTGTGTCAGCGCATGCGCGTGGGCCCGCACAGATGGGGGAAGGCCCGCACGGTACGAACGTGTGTGTTTGTGTGCTGTCCCCAGCAAAGGGGCTCGTGCGCCCACGCCGCTGCACGCACACGCAGGTCTCCCCAACACTGCAGTGCTCAAGAGAGGTTCCGGCGCGTTCAGCCTTCACACTCTTCCTTTGAGGAAGGGGGGGCAGAACCAAACTGTGCCACACAGTGATCGTCCATACAGAAAACTTCTCCCATCCCCCCCTAAAGCAGCCCCCGACTCAGAAAACGGGGCTCGTCAGAAAACAGCCTGCACGACCCATGAGCTTCATCGCTCCTCTCAAAAGGCTGCTGAGACCACACCGTGGCACAAAGGGACCTCTTAAAGGCAGGAGACCTCACAGCCCTGTGCCTGCACACAGGCCTAGGCTCACCCAGTGCTCCCAGTCCCACTGCACCAATCCAAGTCTGAAACAGCTTCAGCAACAAGAGGCCTTGACTGCGTCTCTATAAAGCCAAAGAGCTGCACAGCCACCCAAGGTTATTTCCAGAGGTAAACAGGATCCTGCTGGTACTCCCAGCTCCCGCTCGCCACTACCACCCCCTCCGTACCTCTACCCTGTCTCCTCAGCAGACTCCAACCCTACCCCTTCATGCCTAGAGTCTGCACTTCACTGCTATCACTGCAAGGTTGTGCCTTCTCATTTTCTTTGAGCCACTGCTGCAGCGCTCCCATCTCCTCCTTTAAGTCCTTCATCCTTGCCTCTTTTTCTGTTTCTGGCATCTTCAGAGCACAGTAGGGTTTCTTCCTTACACGAGAGAGGGCGGGAAGAGGTTCTTCCTTCCATTAACCGTTAGTGCCCATTCAAGCGAGATGGGCAGTGCTCAACAGACAAGCTGTGCTGCTGCTTTATTCCTCTGCTGCGCTACCCCGCATCAGCACACAGTCCCACCCCCCCTCCTGAGCTTGCCCACAACTCCACCGTATTCCCTAGAAGCCATCCAGCACCCTACTCCTGCTCCTGCGTGAGACCACGTCCAGGTGCCGGGTGACTCAGCTTGAAGGCAGGACTACAGCTTCAGCAGAAGTGGGGGTGAGGCCCACCCACCTTCTTTATAGACGTGTTCCAGGAATCGACCCTCAGAAGTTGGTAGTGACCTCCCACGAGGACCCATCCCCTCGGCACCGAGGCTGCTGGGGAGGGGAGCCAGGTGGACAGAAAGGAACCCCACACCATGCCCCAGGGGAGTTGCCATTTTCCCAAGGAATCACAAAGCTTTTACCCTTTCCTTCTTGTCAGTTCCTGCAAGGACCCCTGCCAAAGCCTTTTTACTTTGCTCACTGATCTCCTGTGCTAAACTTGCTGCTTGCACTGGCTGAGCCTGAAAAATCAGGTACACCTAAATGCAAGCAACCAAGGTTTGCTCTGAGAGCTTCAAGGCAGAGCTGGAGCACCAAGATTTCTCAGGGAGTCAGAGTCCCAGGAAGGGGGCACTCAGGAGAGCACCAGGCCCTTCGAACAAAGAACATCCCTGTCAGCTTCACGGTGGATTCAGACAGGCTCTCCTGTGGCTCTCCATACAGCCAGTGCTTCCACTTCGTTTTTAAAACATTTCTTGCTGAGAGCGAGCACTAACGCAGCCAAGAATAGTGCTCTGCCCTGCCCCGTGTGACAGCCTCCACCAGAAGCCCTCACCAGGTGAGCCTCAGAGCCAACGTAGCTGCAGCCTGGTGAAGCTCTGGAGCAGAGAGGAGCTTCGTAGACACAGCAGTCAGTGAAGGTAAAAGCAGGTGGAACAAGCAGCAGGGAAGGTCAAAAAGTGATAGGAAAGCATTCATCACAGACACTCTATCCCTAACTTGTTGCTTTTCCAAATGTAGGGAATGGAAGGGCTTCTGGAAGTCTCAGAGGTGCAATGGATAGGGGCCAAGAGCCGAGAAAGACTGCTCTGGCCAACCGGACCGCTGCGCCTCACTGCTTGAAAGGCAGCCTTTGTCTGTTTCCCCAAGGCACCAACACCGCTTCTCCATTTTGCCATCTATGCCTCACCTCTGCGTCTCCTTCAGCCAGAGCCTTGACATTTGTGATGGAGAACGGGACACAGGTCACTGCAAGTGGTGAGTTCCACTCATCCCAAATGACAGGATTTGCCCATCATGGTGCTCCTGCCAGTGCTGAAGGAGGGATGCAAAGCAGACAGACACAGTAGATGTGGGTGAACAAAAGCGGAGCAAGCAGATCTTGGACCAAGAACAGCAATGCTGGCACAGAGGGTGTGGGGAACTGTGCTCCCTCCCTTGCAAAGTTTAGGCTCTCACCAGAAGCTGTTACGAAAGCAAGATAAACCTACCAACAATAGGATCCTTTCATTTTCCTTCTAGGTTTCCCAGGCAACACCAAGCACTCGACAACAGTTTAGAGTGCAAATTCCCCTCTGTTTGGTCAGTTAATGGCAGGAAGATGAAGAGACTTAAGCAGAGCTGCTCATTGCTTATTGTCTGGTAACCCTTCAGGCACCTGCAGCAGTGACATTTACACCCAACACTACACTGTTTTTAAATGCAAACGTCTATGCTGGAGCTCTGAAACTCCAGCAAAGGAGGTGCATTTCCATTCTTAAATTACAGCTTTACAGCTAACACTGCACACATGGCTGGGAGTGCATGACAGCACACAGATCTCAGCAGGGATGATATCGAATCCAGGAAGCCCGCTCCAGGCTGGAGAAAGCAATTGAGATCCAGGACTGTTGCTCAAACACATCGATGCACAGATGTTAAAAGAACACCCAGCTGTGGTAGAGAGGCCTCAGGAGACCCTCAAAATTGGTCAAGCTGCATCGTTCCCAATAGGACTCCAAGAAGATCCTCTCTTCAACTAAAGGGCAGGACCACGTCCTGAACGCATAGCTGGGCACGTATGTCTAGCATTCTTGCTGGGCACATGGTTTTGTTAGCATTCCTGTTTTGGTCACTTGTAGAATGAGGTGCTCAAAGGTGAACAGTGTCTATTGTAGTGTGCTGGGTCCGGCCCATGAGCCTTCCCCTCACAGAGACCTGACTCAAGGCTAGTACACAAACAGACCTCTGCTTATCATAAAATCCGTGATCTAGCTGCTCAAGTAGAAGCTAAAGGAACAGAGATTCAGTGGCTAAATCGCTAAAGGAACAGAGATTCAGTGGCTAAATCATATGCAAAGTGACTTGAAGACTCTGCACTAGACTCCCAAGGCAATCTGGGCTCAAGAAGAAATTGCATTTTCCAATTATGCCCACCCAGGGGCTTGTGCCTTCTCTCTCTGATGAGTTATCATGCAATTTTTTCGATGCCTCAAATGAGTCCTGAAGATGCTGTGTAACAGCTGCCCCTTCCCACCTTATTCTAGCAAGCTTGACTGAATCTAGACCTTGTGATTCCAACACTCTGGAGCCTTGGCCAGCAGGGAACATGCTATCCCAAATGATGTTACTAAATCAATGTGCCATTTCATCTGAATGGCAGGAGTAGTTCTAGCATAAAACAGACGAAAAAGGACTTTCAAAGCAGTAGGAAAGCCATGTACACATTAAGTTAATCTCCCACAAGTATGCAGGAAAGTGTAACTTCTTCAGGTTCCCATTGGGACATCTGTCCCAAGATTTTCCAAACAGAACAGTTATTTAGAGTCTAAACGTCCTTTGGACATGCGAATTCTGAGTTCTGTATCTTGGCCAGTTTTGCTGGCACAGCTCTTCACTGCTAGCTCCTCATCCCTTACAGCCCGAGAAGTGCATCATGAGATGTTTGATGCAGCCTACAATCTATTCCTTTCCACATTCTTCTTCCTGAGTATCTGCTATTGAACTCATCACCTACCTCTAGCAACTAACCTGGTACCCAACACTATTAACTTACAAACATACCCCAAAAAGGTAAACATCCATAAATACAGAGATCTAGTTGCTATTTTTTTCCTTAAATCATCCAGAATAGGGAGATTGTCAGCGTGTGTTCTCCCTCCTTTCTTTTTATGAAAAGAATGCAGAAACCAACCCTCTGGAATAAAAAACCTGAACAAAATGTTTTTACATTTTAATTATTTTAAAGCACATCATAATTTAAAAATCCAACTCTTAAGTGCAAAGGCAACCCCCTGCAAGCTCTTAAGCTCCACCCACAGGGTAGAATGAAAAGATGGAAAAAGGTGAAATTGAGAGAACGGGAAGCATCACTGTAGTTTTCAGAAACCCTTAGAGCATTCCCTCTCCTGGGATTTGCAAGTCCCGTCACCTCTGCTCCACAAGCATGTGCAGAAGCATCTACCACGCTGAGCAGAAGTATTAAACACGACTGGGTATCTGCTGTGGTGGTGTAGCACCCTCATTCTACACATATTGCAGCAGGAGTAAGAGGGATACTGGGGACACAGCTAGCTGTGCAGCCACGTCGTTTCTTGGGTCCATGACACAGCAGGCGCTTGGTCAGAAAGAACCACAGTTACACACAAGCTAATTAACATTTGATTTCTTTGACACTGGGTCTGCTCTAGTCCTGACCTTCTGATTCAATTTTAGGGATAAAGGTGGAGTCCCAGGTACAGCCCCACAGGAGCTACTGGGTGTTTACTGGGAGTTAATAAGCAACCTCATTCCTGCACTACTCCTAAAAGACGCTGGGACATAGAAAGGCAAGTGTTGGAGGGATGAAGGGAGAGAGGAGTGGCACAAATACAGATCCTGCCTGTTCGGCACACAGGCAGTCATCGCATAGTCAACTCTACTCCTGTGAGGTTTCTGCAGAGAGAACTGTGCAGAGAAGAGTCATA